CTGCAATGTTTACACTACAGCTCTAAGTTTGCCCTCTTGGCTGTCTATCAGACAGCCACTGGGTGAGCTTCCGGAATCCAAACGGGCTTTTGGTCCGTTATCTGACGCTTGACGTCCTCACGGACCTCCAGCGTCAGATTTTCCCCATAGAATAACATTGAATAATGCTTTCCTATGTTGAGGTCTAATGCGCGTGGCCATTACCACGCATGCACATTAGGTTTCCCCCCTCGCAGGAGCGTGGGCGGAGCTTGACCTTAGGTAAGTGGCTGAAGGGGTTTTAACCCTTTCACCCCCATGGGAGGGGGCCAGGAAAACGACTTTGTCCACCTATAGGGCCTACATGGATGAAGTGTGTGTACCGAATGCAGATTGTATGTTTGTGCAGTGAATGTAGTGTTTGTGTGTATCAGATGATGTGCGTATAGTGACTGCAGAGTGTGTATAGTGAATGCAGAGTGTGTGTTTGTGTAGTGTATGTAGTGTGTGTGCATAGTGACTTCAGAGTGTGTGTGTGTGTAGTGACTGCAGAGTGTGTGTTTGTGTAAGGATGTAGTTTGTGTAGTGACTGCAGAGTGTATGTTTTAAGGATGCAGTGTGTGTAGTGACTGCAGAATGTTTGTGTTGTGGATGTTGTGTGTATAGTGACTGAAGAGTGTGTGTTTGTGTAAAGATTTAGTGAGTGTGTAAAAAGTGACTGAAGTGTGTGTGTGTGTTTGTGTAGTGGATGTAGTGTGTGTGTGTGTAAATAGTGACTGCAGTGTGTGTAAATGTTCTAGGGCTGCATACTGAGGGCGGGAGGGGTCCGGTGGCATGGTGCGGGCCCCCGACTACCTATTACTGCAGGGGGGCCCAGCACACTACAAGTTCACTTCCCAACTCTTCTGTCTCTAACTCTCGTGAGCCCGGCGGAGTATTGCCATGGTAACTGTGGAGCTTGCTTAATTTTGAGACAGAGGAGCAGAGCAGCTGGGAAGTGAACATTAAGTGTGCTGGGCCCACCTTCAGTAACAGGTAGTCAGGGGCCCGCAGTGCACACATATACATAGCGTACACACACACACACACACATATATATATATATATATGTGCAATTAGGGAATATGGGGCAGGACTCCCAGAGAAGTCAGGGCCCCAGAGGACCGCCGGGCCCATGACAACCATCATGGTTGTCATGCCCTGATGGCAGGCCCTGGTGTCCCTTAACCTACTGAGTACCAAAGGAATGAACATGCTGTTTTGATACACTGTAGTCACTCATGTATTTAAGTAAAGTATGGCAAACAACAGGGCTCATAATTTCAAGACCTAACATAATAGCCATCCCTAAATGTTACTCAGCTCTAAAAACAAGGCAGCAACACACACAGCCACCCTACTCCAAATTACATGCACAACATCTGATGATTTCTAGCATATGGATACTTGGAAAGAGTTCCAGGGTGCAGTGGACAGCTGTCTGTGGCCTCATAATATCTGTAATGTAATATTTACAACTATGCTGCACAGGCTAATGAAGTCCAAAAAATGAATATGGAAGTAGGTTTTTAGCTGTTCAGTTGCAAAGTTTTTCTCTAGCAAAATGTACAGACAAATTGTAATTAACTTGTCGTTACGTGTTCCTGTACAACTGCATGTGTGACAAGAAGAGAGGAACCTGGCCGTGATCTCCCTACCCTATGAATTTGTTAGCTTGTCTAGAAGGGCTGGTGGTTAACAGTTATATTTCTACATGCTCTGCAGACATTTGAACTGCTGATTACACCCTGATGGCCAATGATTTCAGAGGTGTAGTCCCTATTACAATAAGTTGCTGCTTTCAAGCCACACTGTATTACAAAGGGGATTCTATGCTTGTTTTGATTTGTGATTCAGAATGCCACCTGTTGCTCCATAAAAGAGATGATTGATGGAAAAAAGATGATGGGTGGCTAGGGGAGAAACCCAAAATTTTAATTTTATTTACAGATCAACTAACAATTGATTAGAATAGAGGGATAAAGGAGAAAGCAGTAAAAATTCTACTTTGTGTTTCATATCTTTAAGAAAAATGTAAAATAGAAAAACATAAATATAGATTTTCTTTACTGCTCTTCCTCTTTTCCCCTCTATTGGTCACTTTTCTTACTTGATCTGTGAACCAAATGGCGGGAACATTTGCCTATATGCAAAATATATATGTAATATTTATATTCTATATATTTTGCAATACACTTATTGGCCCATTTTCCCCTCCCTTTTGGTTTTGTCAAACTACCAAAAGTTTTTTTATTTTCAGCCGAAGTGTTTCGGCGAAAATAGATTTTTTCATTATTTCACTTTCCTAACATTCAAATAGAATGTTTACAATTATTGAAAGATAACGAGATATAAGTGAACGGGTAATGTTTTAAAGATGTCGTCAGAATATAAAGTATACTATGTGCAGAATTTTTACAAATACATTTTCCATATATGCTCTTTATTGAGATTTTATAACTCTAGGCTTCTGTACATTCCAGCTTACCCCATGGTAGGGCATTTTTCCATTACACTTACAGACACATTCAATCCATGTTATTACTGCAGTATTTCTGACTAAGTATGCTTACCAGTAAATGCTTCATTTCAAGCTAATTCTGCTACTACTGAAAAAGAACTATGATGCTTAGACTGGGGCATGTGTTACTTTGGAAGACAACTGTGTCATGCAAGCAAAAAGAGCAGGTATTGTCAGTCCTTATAACTGTGTACAGAGAAGGGATTGGGGGCACACCCAAGACCTGCATTTTGCATGAAAGGTGCTGCCGCAGTGACCAAACTTCATACATGAAAAAAATAGTTGTGGTCACCAAACGTAGTGGCAGGATGTTGGCCTCTCGGTGACTGTAACCATAAAAAAGGGGAAGGGAGTGACAGGTGAGGCCCTCTCTATATACCATGCGAGGCGGCTAGCTCACGAGTGGCCCGATGGGTGTTTGCCTCCGAGCGTTGAGGCGGGGTGTTGGCCTCGCGGGACCACTATACGACAGGCGTAGATGCCAAGAAAGGAAAATATCTATTGGAAACCTATAGTCCCTAATTGCCAGTACGCTAAGGATATGCCCAGGGGGGAAAGAGAAAATGTATGTATATACCACATGAGCAGGTGTATGTACCTGGTAGTATGATTAGATACCCTTCTGGTCGTAAGGGTTATTAATACCTGTATCCCGGACGGGTAAAACAATGTATGAAAATTGAATATAGACATTTAAAAGCGTATATCCATGTGTGTTATGCGAGTTTAATAGAACAAAGTGCTCCGTCCCAATGTTTATTGTATGCTTGTAATGCCCCTGTTTGAAGGAAATTAACTTGTTGGGAGTGTTATATCATGTGTGATATGGAACACAACTGTACCCCGAAACATGAGTGTAGTGAACCATGACTGGCAGCTGAATAACCTAATATGTGAATATACGTAATTGGAAGGACTTATATTTTAAGCGTGCAAATATTCCATATTAGACTCTGGAAAACTGCATAGTGCTTTAAATAGTATGTGCATTCTTGGGTAAATGTATGCGTATTGTCAGTAAATGTAACTAAATGCCTATGAAGGCAGGTATGCAGGAATGATTATATCATAGTAAGCATGATTTGTAAGGAAGTGTTATTGTGTAATTATAATTATAGTGGGAATGTTATGAGGGGAATAACCGTATGTCTGAAAAGCCTGTAGTATACCGTTTGACAGATAGGAGTCAGTATAAAAGTGAAAATGCTGTAGTTTGTTTGCTTATGAAGTGAAATAAAGTCTGAGAAGCCTGTAGTACACTGAATGACCAGTAAGGTTCAGCATGTAGGCGAAAATGCCGTGGTTCGTTGGTTTGTACATGAAATGCAATAATGTCTGAGAAGCCTGTAGTACACCGAATGACCGGTAGGGGTCAGTGTGTAGGCGCAAATGCAGTAGTTTGTTGGTTTGTACATGAAATGCAATAATGTCTGAGATGCCTGTAGTTACACCAAATGACTGGTAGGGGTCAGTGTCTTGGTGAAAATGCAGTGAAAATGCAGTGGTTTGTACATGAAATGCAAAACTTCTAAGAAGCCTATAGTACACCGAACGACCGATAGGGGTCAGTGTGTAGGCGCAAATGCAGTGGTTCGTTGGTTTGTACATGAAATGAAATAATGTCTGAGATGCCTGTAGTACACCAAATGACTGGTAGGGGTCAGTGTCTAGGTGAAAATGCAGTGGTTCGTTGGTTTGTACATGAAATGCAATAATATCTGAGAAGCCTGTAGTACACTGAATGACTGGTAGGGGTCAGTGTGTAGGTTAAAATGCAGTGGTTCATTGGTTTGTACATGAAATGCAAAAACGTCTAAGAAGCCTGTAGTACACCGAATGACCGATAGGGGTCAGTGTGTAGGCGCAAATGCAGTGGTTCGTTGGTTTGTAGATGAAATGCAATAATGTCTGAGATGCCTGTAGTACACCAAATGACCGGTAGGGGTCAGTGTCTAGATGAAAATGCAGTGGTTCGTTGGTTTGTACATGAAATGCAATAATATCTGAGAAGGCTGTAGTACACTGAATGACCGGTAGGGGTCAGTGTGTAAGTGAAAAAGCAGTGGTTTATTGGTTTGTACATGAAATGCAAAAACGTCTAAGAAACCTGTAGTACACCGAATGACCGATAGGGGTCAGTGTATAGGCACAAATGCAGTGGTTCGTACATGAAATGCAATAATGTCTGAGATGCCTGTAGTACACCGATTGACCGATAGGGGTCAGTGTGTAGGCACAAATGCAGTGGTTCGTACATGAAATGCAATAATATCTGAGAAGCCTGTAGTACATCGAATGACCGATAGGGGTCAGTGTGTAGGCGAAAAATTGTATGTCGTTTGTAGTTTTAACCCAACAGATTTTTAACCAAAACAGATTTTAACCAACAGATTTTACATAAACAGCTAGGTGAGTATAAGGAAACGAAATAACCGTGCAAAACGAAAGGAAACCGTAAAGTGAGGACCCGTGCTGTGTTGAACGCCGTGGGAACTAATCCTGGCGCGACAGGTGGGTCAACTTACGGTTTGAGAGTCCCTGAGACACCAAATGCGATGCTGACCGGAGAGAAAAGCCACTGGATTAACGGAAATCCCTGCTGCAGGATTCCTGGACACAGCTTGGAGTAGGAGACCTCATGGAGCAAAGGTGAAACCAAAATGGCGTCTTGTATGACCTGGAAGTGGATCTCATGCAAATGCTGACCTTGAACAGTCTATTCGTCTGACCAACAAAGGTAAGTAGGGAGAGGGGGGAGTCCCTTTTATAGGTCTATAGCCCCTCCCACAACTTCAGGCCATGCCTTCCAATTTGTGGCGCACTTAGACTACAAAAAATACAACACAAAGAAAGCTTCTAAATGGCCTATCTAAGAATAAATATGGGAATTTAGTTCCACCATATGATGTTAAGCCCACCACTGCTTTCAAAGTACCCCAATGTTGGTGGGTCCTACGCTAAAATGTGGGGGACAAATTCAAAAAATCAACACAGATATCATCTGCAATAGTGAGTATATTCATTCTAGCACTAACACTTTAATTGTTTAGTTTTAACACTGTTTTTAATTGCTTTCATCACTTTATTTTTGTATACTCACTTTGCTCTTACAAGGATTTAATAATACACTTTATTTTTAACACCAGTACTATTTAATTTGTCCCCCACATTTTAGCATAGGACCCACCAACATTGGGGTACTTTGAAAGCAGTGGTGGGCTTAACATCATATGGCCATGTGGTGGAACTAAATCCCCATATTTATTCTTAGATAGGCAATTTAGAAGCCTTCTTTGTGTTGTATTTTTTTGTAGTCTGAGTGCGCTGCAACTATTTTTTTCAGTCCTGTGACGCCTCCTAAACCAACATATGTAGTAAGTATCAATGCAAATTCTCAATGCACTGTAAAGATATTTCTGCCACATGGCAGCACACATGGAAAAATAACTCCTCTGGGTCTTGGAAGACACGGGCGACAGTTACTGGGGGATTAGGAAAACAGATGCATGTAAGATGCTTACAGAGTTTTCCAGACATCGCTTTCCACCAAGAATGAGCCAAGAAAATGGGCCAGCTAAAAAGAATCAGATGTGGATACACAGAGGGGAACAGACTAGGGATACAAAGAAACACCTGTAGGAGAAATGCTGTAAAACAAAGGATAGTGTAGTGTGGAGATAAATGAAGACTTATGGGTTGTCAACAAAAAAATCTATGGTATTATTTTTATGATAACTATATGTCATCTGTTCCAATATATTAATATATATATATATATATATATATATATATATAATAAAGCAAAATAAATCATTCTAGTTAGTGGAATAACTTTGTTCGGAGGGTGAGGAGGAGTACAGTCTTTCTGTGTAGATTTATTATAATCAAGTGCCAAATATATTTATTATTGACACCCCTTGTCTATGCTTCTACTTCCTAGAATTTATACTGGATCTACTTTGTTTTCTAAGAGATGTAGTGTCTGTGTTTAAGAAATTTAGTGTATGTTTGGGAGTAGGTGATGTAATGTGTGTATAGGGCATCAGTTGTGTATGGGGAATACAATGTGTGTATAAAGGATGTTGTGTATGTGTGCAAAGTATATAGTGTGTCTATAGGGGATGTAGTGTGTTTGAGTGCATAGGGGATATAGTGTTTGTGTATGAGATGTAGTGAAGTGGAGGAAATGTGTGTGTACACTATCTGTAGTGCGTGAATTTATGGGCTGTATTGTGCAGAGGGGTGAGAGTGGAGCAATTTATAATTTTATACAAATAATTCTTATTTAAAAATAAAGCTATTTATCCTCCCTCCCCTAGGGAAGAGGGACATGACAATCCTTTGTGGTCCAGTGGACAGCCTCAGGTCTGCCTCTACATCTTGCAAGCTCCGGCACTGTGTGGTATAAGAGCACTACTAGGGCAACCCGCAGCAAAGTTCTGAACAGCCGGAGCTCATGAGATTTGGTAGAGGTGCAAGTTAGTGTCTCTGCATACTGAATACTCTGCATTCGATAGAGGTGCAAGTTAGTGTCTGCCAGGCCCTCTCCGCAGTAAGTTGCAGGGTACCAGTGAGATATTTTATCACCCCACTGACCCATGAAAGCACACAGCATGGCCGTCATTTGAATACTGTTGGCACAGCATGGGCCTGCAGGGGAGTACTCCATCACAACCCACTGTATTTTTGCCTGGTTTTCCCGATGGACAATCTAGACCCGACTGTAGACTTATTGCTCATCTATTCAATTATAATGACATTTCTCTTCTGTATTTTTGTGCATTCTTCAAAGAAGAACAGCTGGTGTTTAAGGAAAGTCATCTGCAGCAGCTTTGTTTATGGGTTCTAAACTGGTGAGAAGATCAAACATTTTGGGGATGTAGCCCCTTAAAAATGGTGAAGGGTTTATGGTATTTTTTGGATTAGAAAAGAAATAGAGAGCAGTGGCTTGGCTACACTAAAGCATGTATATAGTTATGTATTTTCCGATATGGTACAATAGTCACCAATTCACACATATATTTCATTCCGGGTTTATATTCTTATATGCTTCTCTATACACCATCGTATTCTATATGACTTTAAAAATCTGTCATTGTATAGGGAGGTAATTGGATTCACTGTCAGTAAGTGGGCTATGCAAATAAGGATTGCCCAGTGGTAATGTGTAATTGCTGGAGAAAGGGAACTGAGCGCTGCTGAGGTGGTTGTGGTTTCTGCTGTTGCCTTTTGGGATATTTGAGAGAAGCTTGCATTGTTTTAATCAAGGGCATCCGGATCTTTACAAATAAGATACTAAAGGAGTAATATAAGCGATGTTCCCTTTAAGGTGTGCACACAGGATTAGATGGGCCCCGTCTGAAGCAGGCCGGGCCTGTGCTCTTTTACATGTGCTGCACAGCACTGTGTATATCAGCCACACTCACACGAAATGTCGCTATCTAACAGGAGTGCGGCTAGGAATTACAGAGCGGTACGGTGCACCTTCACCTTCCACCATACGTGGCTTTTGGGGATAGCTGCCTATATTGCCTTTTCGAATGCCAAACAGGTCAATTTAATTCTGGTACTGTGTGTGTCTGTAATGCAAATCACTCACCTAATATCTTTTACTATACTTAAATGAGTGAACCTGTTTTCTTTGTTTTATTCTGTCCTATCACCCATAGCTAAGCTCTAGTGTAACTAACACACTAGCAAGGTTAAGCTGATTCATGTAGATTATATGTAATATTGGTTAGTGGTGTACATTTCATTTGTTTTGGATGAATTTTTAAGTGTGTGGAGCTTGATTTCCCTCACCTTCTCTCATGTAACTTACACTAATATATATAAAGTGTGGCTTGACTTTTGCATTATAATTGTTTCGTGTCGATGTTTCATTCCTCCAAATAAACTAGGAACCAGCACAGATGCTTGTGACTTTTGAATGTATCTCATTTTATAAGTTATGCTACCAGTAAATTGAGCTCTAAGGATTATTTGCAAAAATCAGAAAGGTGGTGTTATTGGGGTCATATTAACCCTAGCTGGCTCTTACTGCCTCTATTTTCTAATTGGTTGATACAATATAGCACCAGGTTTATTCTGGAAACAGATTTAGCAAATTTTTGGTCAATTGCTTGCAAAAGTCTCCAGTGTAATCTCAAATTTGGTAATATTTGGTAAACATTTGCAAAAAAGTAGTGATATCCCGAACTGTTCGCAGAACGGTTCGCGAACAGTTTGCCACGAATGGTTTGCCACGGACTCATCATTGAGTAAACTTTGACCCTGTACCTCACAGTCAGCAGACACATTCCAGCCAATCAGCAGCAGACCCTCCCTCCCAGACCCTCCCACCTCCTGGACAGCTCACTAAGAATGCAGCTTCACAATGGATGCTGTCCTTTCGGTGAACAGTTCGGGACATCACTACATACCAGAGGTTGTTGATCATGTGCAAAGTTTATCTGTCCAATGCTGTCTTTGTGATCTTGTGAATGCCTTCATTAAGCACTAGATGGCAGCAACATACTTCAGTTTTTCTTGTGAGTGCTCTAACAACACAGTAGGTAACCTAGCACAGAGGGTGCAGGGAATTATATCAGGTAGTAGAGTTCTTTACTTGTGTGCTGGAATCAATCATACAGAGACACATATGGAATCCCTTTTAAATTTAAAATGTAAAATTGTATGCTCCATATCAGCAGCTCTGAAATGTTTGACTTTGAAACGTAGCTGATTTCAATTCATTATGGCCCCGTGTCTGCTTTCTTTCAATTTGCAATCTTGTATTTTTGGATAACATTCTCAACCACAGTGCAGCCAGTAACACATTTTCACACCTAATTCCAACTGCCGTGGGCGATAAATGCCCCTTTCCTTGCCTGGTTCAGAATAATGGCGGTTGCAATTCACAACTTTTTGAGTGTGTTAGATTTACTGTGATCCGAGGGTGCTTTGTTTTCTAGATTTAGGCTTTGGGTTGTGCGAGTTAGGATTGGGGTCAAAGACATTAGAGTTAAGATTGTGTGAATTAGTGTTAGGGGTTTTTCACTCGAGACATGCGTTCTGCAACCGGCATCATTGTCAACCAGACAGAGCATGGCTGAAAATGTTTGATAGTGAAAATAATGAAAACAGTTGTGCCCACAACTTTTCTTAATTTCCTAGGGCTAGACCTGGGGCTGACATTTGGTTTTGGCAGTATACAATCTAAAATTTACTGAGGAAAGGGATTTCACTTCAGCTGCTGTTGACTTCCACTACCATAATTCTTATCTATGTAAAGTAATGCTAGGAATGATTAACTGTCCACAGCATGCAGAAAATGCTTAGTCTCACACCAAGGCTTATGAACTGTTCACTGTAATTACCATAACTTAAATGGACACTATAGTCACTAAAGCAACTTTAACCTAATAAAGCAGTTTTGGTTTATAAGTCATGCCCCTGCAGACTCTCTGCTCAATTCTCTGCCATTTAGGCGTTAAATCACTTTGTTTATGAAGACTGAATCACACCTGCATGTGACTTACAAAGCCTTCCTGATTACTTCCTGTAAATAGTCATCTAATGTTTACACTTTATTATAAATTCAGTTTAATTTAGAATTCTTATCTACTGCTCTATGAATAGCTTTCTAGACTCTGCAGGAGCCTCCAGTAAGTGATAAAAGTTCAA